GTCGCCTCTTACGAAACCATGGGAAAGGAAGGGATGGTGCAAGTAACAAGGACTAATGACTGTAATGATTATATTTTAAGCTTGATATATCATTTTGAGTTTTTAACTGCCTTAAAGAAAGGAGGTTAAATTCGGTTGTACATTTTTTCATGTTTGTTACTTCAGAACTCCATCAATCCTATTTGGAATATTATTTTTTATCTGATAGAATATACTTACAGACGGTTCCATTAAAACTTAATAAAAAGCGTTTTGATAGTTTAAGTTTAAAATCTAAATAACTGATTTTGAATTATTGATCGAAGTTTTTTTTATGCAACAACATTTTACTTACATATCCTCGGGATAAAATACATAATTACACAGTCTTCTTACTCCGTCACGTCAATATCACGTCACAAAATAAAAAAGAAAAATAATAAAAGTAAAAAAAAAACTGGACTAAAATAATCATTTTATTTTAGATAAGCCTTTATTATTAAATTTCTTTCAGATCCCACCTCGCTAATTAACGATAGAAAAAGCTTTCAAAGCGCTATTTCCCCTAATTTTCTTAAAAGGCTCTTGATTACAGAGCTTTAGAATCATTGTATATTTTTTTTTTCTAAAATCGCCTAATTAGTCATTTAAAGCTGGCAAAAGTAACAAGGATAAACAGGCGAGGGATTGAGTAAAAAAAAGTAAAAAGTTACGAAATTAGAAAATGGCGGCAAGAATGACAGATCGTTTACACGAGAACAATATGTCCGCAGTCACTTTATAATTAAGAAGGGGACAAGGAAAAATACAAAATGTAGAAGTTTACAGATTTTCTTGCTCTGTTGCTAATGTTTTTGAAATTACAAGTTGTAGGTATCTATAATAAATACAAGTATATATCTATAAACGTTATACATTTTAATACAAGTTGCATATTTAACTTTCTATTACACTATTTATACTGGTATTTACTTATTCAATATATATATCGAGAAATATTGATGGCTAATGATCTTTTGACATTTTCTTAACATAATATGGGGCAGACAGACCATAAATTATATTTTATGTTTTTATATTTGGCACGTTTGGCAAACAATCTTAGTATATTTTTGAAATTGTTTTAAACAAAAATCTTTCTTTTCTGAGTAACCATTTAATTTTAAATATCGGCAACTCGCACGTGATACCTATAGTGTTGCAGATGTCCATAGATTACAATAACTGTTTATCATTAGACGGGTTGTATGCCTGTTTATCACCTTCGTTATGAAAAAAAAATTATTCTGACTATTACGCGATAAAAAACATTATTTAGTACCTAAATATAATGCCAAGTATTAGAAACAGGTTGTATAGCCCACATTAGTGAATAATTAATATGAGTAAGGTTTTTATTCGCTTATTTATAATCCATAAATTATTCACAGCCAGAGTGAAACGAGCAACATAGCCCGAAGGATAAGCAAGTTAAAGTAGCAATAGGCTGGTCACATAGCTTGAAGAACCGACAACCGATGGGAAAGAAAGATTCTTAAGGGTCAACCCTGTACGGGCAAACGCAATATAGGATGACCCCCCACTAGATGGAATGACGACCTCAAATATATTGCAGGGAGTCAGTGGATGCAGGTGGTTCAGGACCGTTCTTTATGGCAATCTATGGGGAAGGCTTATGTCCAGCAGTCGACGGATAATGGTTGAAATGATGAAGATGGTGATGACAGTCAAAATTGTAATTTACTTATACGTACAAAATTAAAAGTGAAAGAAATGACATCACAATTATCTAAAAATTATCGTTAACAAATCGCAAACTTAAACTGGAACAGCCTCGTCCCGCGGCACGACAGGCGGCATGTCAAACAAGACAGCTGTCCTGTCCCTAATTTGTTACCAAATAGTCCCGCTCGTTTACCCTATTTCTCGGACTTTATGCCTTGTGTTGCTAGATAAAAGGGTCGTTCTCAGCCCTGTAAAAGGGGAAAACTACTTCTTGTAAGTCTCGGCTTGATTAGATGGAGGTAATGATGTACCCTCGCGGATTAAGCGGATAAAGGGTGTAGGGTTTTGTTTTTATTACGTTTGTTAGTTGGGATTATTTGGCTCTTAGGGTCTGTATAAATAGAACGGATTTTTCCTTTATGACGAATTACCTTCGTATGCAATATTATATTCGATTTATTTAGAGGGTATTAGGTGCTATCAAAATAGCCAATACTGTGGATTATTTTCATGATACTTTTGTGTTAAGTAATTAATTAATTATAGCTAATAAAAAGTAAGATATATAAAATAATAAAGGTTCTTCAGTGGCGACCCCGTGCAAACAGACAAACGCAGTGCAGGATAACTCACTTAAATTGGGAATTTAATGACCGAAGAATTGGCAGCAGCGTCACTCTCAAAACTGATGTTTTTAGAGTGGTTGTAGAGTTGGTGATACAAAGCCTAACTGCAGTTGCCAACCCACCTGCCAAGCGTAGCAACTACTGACAATATTCCCCTTTATTGTAGAGGCCTATGTTCAATAATGGACAGGTAATAGTTGATATGATGATGAATAAACAATAATTTGCACAATAGATATCACAGAATACCCTGTGACGCCTATGATACTCCTTATGCATTACCATACCGGAAACTAAAAACTTATGTCTCCGAACTTTGTTATTACACTGCCATGTCCCACCTGTCAAACCTAACACATCCATGCAAGCATGATTGCTTCCCGGCAGAAACACAACTGGGACAAGTGACTTTTATACTAAGTTTTCCGTACTAAAGAAAGGGTAAAGAAGTGTCTTCAGGGTAGGCAACGCGTGTGATGCCCTCGGTGTTGCGGGCATTCATGAGCTGCTTGTATGCATTCCATGTAGCCGCTTACCATCAGGTGAGCCGTATGCTTGTTTGCTACCTCAGTGATATAAAAAAAAATAAGGACTAAGCTTATTTTAGGTAAATGTAAATATGAAATACTTTTGTACAGAGGAATCAGAAAATATTAAAAGCATGTTATCTCGCATGTACATACTCAAAACTGGAAAGGGTCGTGTTATAATAATAACTTTCATCTAATTAAGCAATAAAATGTGAATACATTTACTTATTTATCGACGAACTACGTCGATGAATGGCTCAAGGCCACTTCGTCGGCCAGTGGCGGGATATTACTCAGGATCGATTAGGGGCGGCCGCTGCGGTCGGTACGGAACTTAATCCGGGAGTTGTGGTCCCTTTGAATAGAGCAAGTCACTTGACCAACAACCGGCTAATTGTCCATAAATATACAATAAGAAATTTACACTATAACTGATACAAAATTAATAATATTATAATGTCTTTTTTTATATACTAAAGTCTAGTAGAATTATTTTATACTTTTGGAAATAGAAATCAAGCCATTTTATCTAAACGTAACCTATAATTAAACATATTAACGAGTACTAATAATATGAATGCCATAAATATTACAGTGTTGCCACTCCTGAGAGGCTATTTTATTAGATATAAAATAATATATCTGTAGAGGAATAGACAATAAATAAATTTGATAATAATCATTCATCATAAGAAAAATGTTGTCAGTGCTAATAAAATGAGCTTATGGTTATAAACAGTCTTAAGATAAAACATACTTTGTACTAATAACGACTTCGGGTATCTGATATTAATGATTATTTTTTTTTATAAGCATATATAGTAAAAAGTAAACACATACAAATAATACATCAAAATATGTACTGTTCCAAAAGTAGTAATTTACTTTTGTTACTTCAATAATATAGTTTCGTTCAAACGAGGCATAAGCCATAGACTACTTAGAACCTAGTTTAACTAAGTAATAGAGAATAACAAGACTTAAGAAATTGTATAGATATCGTGGATCGTTAGCTAACTCGGCCGTAGTTTTGAGCCAATATTGTTAAAACTTTTTAAACAAATTTTATTTCAATTATATTTTTATCTAGTTCTTACAAAGTAGTTAAAAGGGCTTCAAACATGCATTAATTTGTAAATACATGAAAAAAGGCTACACTTTTTTTGTATTCGATTTTTAAAAGTACTTGTATTTATTTATATCTCTATAAGTTAATAAAATCTTTATCTTTCCTAATATTATATATGTTTAATATTATAAATATTAATTTTTTTTGTTACATCTAAGCGTCTTAACGGCTCAACTAATTATTATGAAAATATTCCAATTGTCATAAAGGCATTTATCGCGGTAAAGTCAAGGGTAGATACTAGTATTATATATTTTAAATTATTCTTCATTACATGTATACATATCAATAACTATTTTCTCTCTGTAATCTAGCTACGTACCAAAATATTTTCAAATATGTTCAGTTGTTTGAGTGTGAATCAGTCACAAATGTCTAAAAACCCAAACATCTTTATAAACTTACACATTTATACTATTAATAAGTAATATGATTAATCACCGTGTGGTCCCGGCCTAGAATAGGCCACCCCTTCCTTTCCCGTAGGTGTCGTAAGAGTCGACTAAGGGAACTTAATAGTTGAGGGATAGATAGCAGCGTCCCTTTTAAAACATCACCAAGGCATATCTGCGGTTGCCAACCCGCCTACCAAAGTTCTGCAACTACTAGCAAAACCTCCCAATACAGATAGACTTATGTTCAGCAGTGAACAGTTAACGGCTGATATAATAATAATAAAGAGAAAATATCTGGACCTGGCTCACGAGGTGACCGAAATGTGGGGGGTGACGTCCACCGAAATCATTCCAATCGTTTTGTCGGTGAACGGTCTTATCCCAACCAGTCTGGAACAAAATCTCAGACGGTTGGGATTCCGAGGCGGTTCACTCCCGAGAAAGATGCAGAAAACGGTGTTCTTAGATACTGCCCGCATTGTACGCCGGTTTCTCTCCCTGGGGCCCTGAACCTCGGCCGACTGTACTTCTGCCGGGGGTTAGTTGCCATCTCCTCTCCTTAAGAGGGGAGATGTGAATCTTGTAGAAATCTAAATAATAATAATAATCAACATACCTTGATAACATTGCATCATTTGCGTTCCCAAACTGATTTGCCGCCAATGCAGCCTCCAGAACATTCGACTCTCTTCTGGGTTCTGTTCTGTTGAGAATTGAGCTAATTGAGAAACTTGTGTACGGCGCGCTCCCCGTCGCCTTTTCCTCTTTATCCTTCTTCAGTTCGTAGTATGGACTCTTCTGTTCTTTTCTAGAAGGCGACGACGTGATGTCGGGACTGCTCGCGCCTGACACCACGTTCACTTCGATGTCTCGATCATCTTGCGATGATACTGGCGAGTCCATTTTGTTGGTCAGTTCCTCATTTTATGGCGATCTGAAAATAAATATCTTTTCCTGTAAATAATGTTTATGAAATAGCTTTACTGATAGGAACATAAGTTTCCGTGGCAATTTCTAACTATTATCTCTACAATTCCATTTCAATCCACTGTAAAAATACAATTTATATACATAATTCAACTGCGCAATGTTTTCGCTAATTCTGAACCAATTTTTAACCGATTTTGAAAAAGAGGGTCTATGTTCGATTATATTTTTTATATTCTCCAATTTTTCCATCAATTGTGAACCAATTTTAAAAATCGTTTTTTTATGATTTTTCTGCAATGAATAGGGTTTACTTCTGTGTTGGTCCATATTAATTTTGTGCCGATAAAATTCAAGTTTAGAAGAAATAAAAATTTTGTGATTATTTTTTCTAACATTTATATGAACATATATTTCTTTTTATGCAACTTAGAATGGCAAACAAGCTGATGATTGCACACCTGATGTAACGTGGTAACTATCACGTCTATTTTTCAGAACGCGCACGCAAACGAAGTCGGGAGGTAGTAACTACTAACCAATAAATTGATTGTATCATTTCACGTATCCAGATCAAACTAAACGTAAACTCTTATCGGGCTGCCTCAAGACATTTACTGATATTTATAATTCATCACCTTTAAGTGCATTATTGTTCTTAGCCCTTGTTTAGGGCTGTCCCCCAGGTATTAGAGTAATATTAAGAGGCACCGTACATTCCCCTCCACTGAATAAGTAATAGGAATTATGCAGACTACGGCTTTTGAGAAAAATCTTACCATTTGATAATCTCGTTTCGGTATCAAAAGCTTTTTGTGTTTTTAGAGAAAATGGGATAATATTAATGTCATGAGATAAACAGAATGGTTTTCACTGATACGATAGAAAAAAATGAATACTTTTTTTTATATCTTTTTTAAATAAAAATGTTTGAGTTGTTTCAAAAATTAAACTGAGATTTTTTTTTATTTTGTGTGCTGTGTGTGTATTTATCTAGATATTCTACACCATAACACCACTTCCCGTGTGATCCCGGTATAGAATAGGCCACATCTTTTTTTCCTGTAGGTACCGTAAGAGGCGACTAAGTGAGGGCGAGAAATGGGCAGCAGCGTTGCTCTTAAAACATCTCCAAAGCTTAACTGCGGATGCCAATCTGCCAGCCAAGCGTGGCAACTACCGACAAAACCCCACTAGAGAGAAACTTACGTTCAGCAGTGAACAGTTAAAGGCTGATATGATATGATGATGATAACAACACCATAAGAATACAATATTTATACATGACAGTATGGAGTTATGAACGCATTGCATAAATGGAAATATTGAAATAATTTTGTTCTACAAAAAAGCAACTTAAATGTTGATTAGGTAAATTAGTATAGGAGTAACTAATATGAGAATAAATCCTTTGATCGAAGAAATAATCGAGAAAAACTGTTCTGTATTGCTGAACTTAAAAACCTTCTCCTTTTCTGAAGTCGGTTTACAAGTAGCAAGCATCCCCAATATAGAAATAAAATAAAAAAAAGAAAACCCTTTCGAGGTTAGTATTGTTATATTATAAATGCGAAAATTTGTATATTACCTCGTGGAGCTTTAACAACGCAACCAATGACTGTTTCAATTTAGTATACCTACATGTATTTTTTTTTACTAACTACTCGTATATAGCTACTGATAATAAAATTTATTATTTATAGTATTATTTTTACGCTATATATGCTATGCTTTAAATACATAACCTATAAATACTTTCTCCTTTCGAATTCTCAAGGTTAGACTGGAAGAAATCCCTTTAAAGGATAAATCCGTCAGTATACATTTTTGTTATAACCTAATATCTATATTATAAATGAATGTACAAAAGCAAATAAATAAATAATTTTCGAAATGTAGAAGGACTGGCTATTTATTTGTCCCTAACAATCAATATATCTCATAAACGCAGACCTAGTCGCAGATAAAAACTATTAAAAAATAAGTATACTTAAACAAGTATAAATATTTAGTGTTGCTGTTGTCTATAACTCAGTTTTAATTAATATTAAGCTAATAGGCAACCGCATTTGAATATGTCAATTAAGTGATGACAACAAAATGGCGGACTACACATTTATCGTAAAGCAAGCGGCAATCAAACGAGCAATTCACATTGAAAAGCAACGGTCACTGAAAATATTGCAAATTGATACATTTCATGATTTCATATTGCGGATTTCGCGTATTTCACGGAACACATATTCCGCCGGCGGTGGTTACTGCGGTGACAAATGAATGTTTGAACACATTTCATGTCCATTTATATTTATTGATTTTATGTTGTTTTGTTATCTATCATTACGCCGGGGACTTTAGTGAAGAGGTAGTGAAAACTAATTGCACGTTCAAACATGAAATTTTCTTGTCTTAACTACTTCCAAAATTTGTTTCATGCATACACATTCCTTACGAAGATTTTTGTCAGTTGAAAAATATAAACGAGAATGCCCACATTAAAAACCAATATTTGGGAAATTTATAACTCTATTACTAACAGCACTGACTTTAATGTGGCAAAAAACACATCTTACATTACATTTAAACCTCATCTATGTATATAAAAACTCGTATAAGTTAGGATATTATATAGTTATAAAGGTTATGGTTCATCTCTGTACCTAATATTAATCAAACCTGTTTATTCGTGTGTGTGAGTGCGAGCGTGTGTGTGTGTGTGTGTGTGTGTGTGTGTGTGTGTGTGTGTGTGTGTGTGTGTATGATGCTATGCAGTTAGCTTTATCATATTCCGCCTTAAGAATTGGGTTAAGAAACATACAAAGTGCCACACTTATATAAAACTTTACAAATATAGGTCAGGCCAGGACGCTGAAAAGTATTTTATATATACATTATCATATAATAAGCATAGCATGCTTAAAAACAGATTTGTCAATTATTGATAGCAGAAAATTAAGCCAGTAAACTAGGTAAGAAATTGAAAAGTGCAAGAAACGTAAGTAGACCGCCTTTGAAACTTTTTGCACATGTAACAATGACTGTTCAGGTATTTTTAAAATGAACAAATTGTGTTGAAATTAATTACTTGGAATCTATTCTATATAAACAATGTAACGTGAAAATAAATTCATAAATATACCTATATTAAATAGTATATAAAAACCAATATCCATTTAAAGTGGTTCATTGACATAAATTTACCTTTTAACGATACTTAGGTGGTTTATACATAATGAAAAATTAATAAACTTTAGTCCCTGGACGTAGTCGCGTCATATGTAACTTTTAATTTTTTATGCTATAAGGGTTGCACATTTGATATCTTGTTAAGTATAAAATAAACAAAAATGGAACGGATTTTTAATTAACGAATTTCAAACAACCCTTTTTCATCGTGTACTCGCGAGTAACGCAAAGTATACATGAAAAATTTTAACTCAAATTTAAAACTCAAACAAAATTTAATATTTATGTTTTTGTGCTTATTTTACTAAACTATTACAAAAACGAGAGAGTTTTAAATTCAATAGTATTTTTGTTGTTTGTATATTTTACAATATTTTTGTCAATGGTAAATCAATTTTATAAATATTTCTAAAATGAATACAATTTATTTTTGATTTGGTTTGATATTAATTTTGTTGCAATATAATAAAATTACTTCTTAGATTATTTAGATAAAGCATCGAGTCTCAAAAACGGGTCAACTTTTGTCAGTTAATTGTCAAATTAGCTGACTCGTTTTTTATCAGTGTTCTTTATAATTACACACACATAATGTATCTTGAGGTATCTATATTTAATTATTTAATATATAAAATGTTTTTTATACACTAAAAAGATGCAAAAGTTATAAAACAAAATAAATATAGAAGTTATAAAAGAAACACTCATAACTATTTATTAGGCAAAATTGTATGAAAAAGTTGACCCGCTTTTTTCGAAGCATTTGTATGGAGACACTCTATCTATATAATCTAAAGTTTACTTATATAATACAATCTTACATATTACATTTATTTTAATACAATTCATTACTCTTGTATATCATAATTAATAAATATTCAAAAAGTGCAACTGATTGATTGTCGTCGCATAGCCAAAATTTTTGAATTTTAATATAAGAAGGGTTTTACTGTAAATAACGAACCCGCAAAAATAGCTAGTATCATATACTGCCATATATTTTGTAATAATATTCTTGCTAGATGTATTTGATTTTTTATGCATTTTGAAAGGGCAAACAAATTGACGACAAAAACTGGTAATCTATTATCTGACAGTCTTGTATAAATATCAACAGCCCATAAAATTCAACAGCACTATGGACATCGCATATACTTATTTGTTTATCAACCGACTTCAAAAAGAAAAAGGTTCTCAATTCAATAGATATTATTTTTTAAGTGTGTTATCTCATAGTAATAAACCGATTAGGAAAATTCTATTCTATTATACTATATATATATATAATATATATATATATATATATATATATATATATATATATAGTATAATAGCTTAATTTTGAAATTAAAGTAATTTGTTTAAAAAAAAGAAAATGATGATTGATCAGCATTCAGGTACGTTGAACTCCGCATTCACGTTACGGTTACTGCTGTCTAACCATCACTTAAAAGCTCTGTAAGAGCTTCTCAAATAGGTGCTTTCAAGAAAAGACATTTATTTATATAACTAACGTGATAAACACAAAGTTTGTGACGCCCGGCCCTAACTGGCTTGTGTATTCACACCCTAAACTCGTAAAACTCAACTGTGTTGCTATTTAAATTATTCAATAGAGAACGTGCAAAATGACATTGTAATGCGAAATTAAAAAGTCAACTAAATTGTCTATCGTTAAATGGATCGCCATATCAATGTAATTCCCGGAAATCGCAAGTTTGTTGCTTATATTATTTTCTATTTTTTGTTATAAATTATATGGCCTTTAAATATTTAAAGCATTCAAATATTAAATAAAGTGTCTTTATCACAATGGCAACA